TCTTAGCCATTAGGCCACAGGCTCTTATCCGTTATCAGCGAAGCCAGGGTGAAAGGTATCTATTAGATTTATAGCCCAGGTTCAAATCCCAGTATATATATATACTCCCTTTATTTATTTATCAGCACAAATACAACACATATATATATATATTCGTATATACTAAAATTACTGTATAGAAATGCTATATACCATATACTAAAAGTATTCATATTTCCCATATTTACTTATGTGTAAGCCCATCTGGTTACAATGTGCTATGGTCATGTGATTGCCCTTGTAACCTCTTGCTGACTTCCCTATTGATTTGCTTGTCAGAAGCTGGAATTGAAGGTCACTAATGGCGATAAAGAGATTGCTATGATGTAATTCACGCTGATTGCTGAGTGCCCAATTCACAAGTATGTGACTGTAGGGAAACTGCAGCAGTTGGAACTTTGTAAATTCCTGTTGTTCAGCAATGACATAACTTTGAAAAGTTGGCCATTAACTGAGGATTACCTATATGTAGTAAGTATAATATTGATCAGATTCAGCTTTTTAAAAAATATTGGGGCATATTCTTCCCAGCTTTGAAGTCCTGGAATCAGCAGCCAAGGGATTTTCCATTAGGCCTTGTAAACTTTGAAATGCAATGTGGTGTTTCACTAATTGCAATGGCCATAGCTGTACCGCAACTGCTATTATTATTTTCAGAGCTATTGTCAAGAGCCACACTTATAGGGTGCTCAGATTTATCATTACTGCAACATAAACTCTGCAGAAGAAGTGCAATTTCAATTTTGAGAGCTTTGTTGCAAGTGCTCGGTTGTGTATTAAAATTCTTTCCTGGGATTGGAAGCTGGTCTAATTGCTGTGGAGACCTATGGGCAGCTTTGCCTCCTGAAATATTGTTAATGTTTTTTTTTTACTTTCCTAGTTTTGTACGACAATCTGTGAAAATGCCTGCTATATAAACATTACCATCGATTTAAAATATTATGAATTATGAATACCATCTGCCTTTGCTTGGCCCTTAGATAGCCTGCTCTGAGTTGAAGCAAAGTCCCATAACATGCATGACCTATGTTCCCGGGTGAAGAAAACTTGTTTGCCAAGGATGTAGCAAACATTCTCCTGCCTGTCCCATGGGAAGAGCTTTTATTCTTACCCATTGAAGTTTTTTACCATTTCTTCAGTCACATCCCTGCATAAGAACAATTCTGCCTCTTGCTTACTAGAAGAAATAGAAAACCTCCCATGTCTTCTTCATGGCTTATGGTAAGCTTCCCTAATAATGTCTTTTTAAACCCTCTCTTATGCCAACTCTGAGGAAGAGATTGTTCTCCTTTTAGCTGATAGGTCACCAGTTATCTCCAAGACCGATTTAATGCAATTGCCCTTGCTATCAGATACCGACTGTCAGCTTCTGCTTTGCTATCGCTTCAGCTGCCATGAAACGGGGAGGGAGGGCATGGTATTTGGGAGGGGTTACACATTGTGCTGGTGGATGGTTCTGGAGTTCACCAACTAATTGGACTGCTCATGGGAGGG